CCCAACCCGTATTATTTCTAGCAAGGAAGTCACTATAAGAGATGTGATCCTGGTTAAGTGGGAGAGGTATCGTCAGGATAAAATGAATAATGTACTTACTCCTCTCTGCAAACACATACTAATTACAAGGGCAGAGATAACTTACTACTTAAATTACATACATTCAGTTTATATTCGAGTTACATTGCTGCCATTTTTTTAAAAATTAGAGTCGGTTGTAGCAGTCTGCTAATTTACTCATGCATTAGGAAACACAGCGTTATGAATTCACACCAACAAAAGACTCAGATACGTTACAAATATCGGAAAAAATTTCAAGTCGGATTTCCAACTCATTATTTGCTATGTTAGGCTCCGCATCCCATTCTTGAATTTTCAGTGTGATGTGTCAATTCCAACTCAAATATTTGCTTGGTTTTCGCAGTAGTGTTATGGTAAGCACACACTCGAAGTGAATCACATTCTGCGCAGGCAATCGCCCTGCTGTTAAATAGTAAAACGTGGTCATGGGGGGTCGCATGTATACTTCGGTCCAAAGTCGTTTTGAAACTGGTCTAACACATTTAGCCGGTGACAGGACTCTGAAGTCCGCTATTTTCGCGATTTTTGGTCGAACTGTGATAAATACACAGGCTGATAGCTGTAAGTTTACTGACATATATAAAAGTGTTTATATTCTCCATATAAATTATCAACACTACTCGTGTAGGAAAATAATAACATATTTATTCTTATCTATGTAGGACACCAGTTATACAGGCATGGATAAGTATTACTTAAATTGTGCAAATTTTGGTTTATGGTTAAATTATATAGTTGCTCTCTTTTTTGTCTTTAGTTTATGGGAACAGTCTGCTAACTAGTCATTTAGCGGAGCACACCAAGAAATATAGAAATATTGTCTTCACATTAACAAAAAACCCAAGTATGTAATGGATGGATTGCAGATATTTGGGAAAAAATGAAGCTCGAAGTTCATTCCTCCATATGACTTTGTTGTGTGCAGCATCGTATCTTGTTCTTGATTTATATCCTAATTGGTTATTAATTTAAAATAAGTGATTTATTTATATAATTGTATCAGAATGTTATCGCTATCACCAGGGACTCCAGTGATGAATCCGGGATTGCGGTGGGCTCATTGAATGTTGGTCAAATTCTGCTACAAGCCACCAGGAATGCTCAACTGACTGACAGTGTGGCAGATGACACTGGCAGCAGCCCTATTGGAAAGTCATCGAAACTGGATTATAATCCATCCAGTAACCAGTTACTAGTGGAAAGAGTTCAGATCATGACCCCTAAAGGTGACCATATAGTCACAGTGCGTGATCTGGTTCTTTGAGAGCGTTTGCATCGAGGAGCTACACGATCCTATCTGTGTTGCAGTAAGGGGAGAAAACTTTTATCCGAAGCACAATGGCCTAGAGATTGTGTTACAGCCTCTTTACAAAAAACGTTCCGAAGATACGGACTATCGGTCTTTGACCATTCCAAAACAAAACCAAATCGTCCTAGACGGACTAGCACCGATACCAAACTGTTGAAGAAGCTGCAAAATGTGCTGTTCTATTTAGCTAAATCCATCAGATAATTAGGGTACAAACCTTGAGTTATAATAATAATTTATGAGTTGCTTGGTATCCAAATACCAGGAGCATAGCGGCTGAACACAAAACGGTTCGAACTAAGACAAATATGCATTCAAACAAAAATTGTACCCCATTTTAGTGGAAGACAAATAGTCTGGTTCACACGAAATTTTAAGATGAAATATAAATTACAACTGGAGTGTTTCAAGATGAAATATTAGGCATAACGGATTTGGCTGAACTTAAGAAAGAGGAATTCATTAGAGGGACCACTCAAGTAACAGAGTTAGGTGCCTCCAGTCATGGTCACTACATTCTAAGAAGCACTCCTTATGGTCAAACAGAAGCGAAGGACGCGGTTAACGTGACGACTCTAGGATCCAGCCGGAATATGAGGTATACTTAGAACTCAGAAGCCGACGCGTTAAAATGGTCCTGAAGGATAGTCGGTTTATAGGACAAATCTTGTCATAAACGTTTTGGCAAACCCCAAATGCCTACGCTGATTTATGTTAGAAGGGAAACCTACCACATGGGCGCACTCATCTTGAAACATCTGGTTGGTTGGTACCTCACTAGGTTAGAAATAGCGAAAACATTTCGTTCAGACTTTGACAGTTAACTAAAGGGTGCCGAAATGGTCGTGCTAATGAATTATCACGTGAGAACCCACCTGGTGCCTCTTACAGTAACCCCACATTGGCTCCAGTGAGACTATAAAAGCTCGCCCCAAGAAACATCTCAGGCGGTGATGGTCTTCTACTGTCAGTTCTAAAATAGCGCACAGAAAGAATGACTCTGCATAAATTCAGGCAAACTAACAAAGGAGTAGAAGGGAATCGCCTTTACCCCTATATTCATGCATGGGAATCGGCGACACTCAGTTGGCCATAGAATAGTAGGACTACTTCCAGTGCCACCAAGGGTATTGGAAGACATGGTTGGCGACCATTGCAAGAAACACTTTGACAAGAACCAAACACTCCATGAGGCACGGCATGATTTTAGAAACGGTAGAGAGACGATCTCGCCCAGGATTATGACTACTGCAAAGGAAGGAAAGTGTCAGTTATACAGTGCTATGCACCCACAAAGAAAGGAGAGTCCTACAGACAACTACGGGCGAAAATGGACAATACTTCAGTTGCTGAAATTAAAATCCTAATGAGAGAGATTAACGCCAAACTGGGACCGGACAACACAGGAAGATAACTCATTATGGGTAGAGAAGTTCTCGGAGGAATGAGCGAAAACGGAGCAATCTTTGCTGACTTCTGCGCCTTCAATGAACTAGTGATTGGTGGCAGCGTATACAAGCACTAGAACATCCACAAGGCTACATGGGTGTCACCAGATGGGCGAATCGAAAAACAAATTGACTTCATCTCAATCTCAAGGAAGTGGAAGCGCAGCTTGCTGGACACAAAAGTAAGAAGAGGAGCAGACGTTGGCTCGGACTACTACCTCGTACAAAGAACACACTAAATCAAATTAAAAGCTTTCAGAGAAACAGGAGCTGCCGATAGACGACAAGCCAAGTTCAATATTCAAAAACCGGAGGAACAGGCCACAAAGGACACTTTTACTGCAATCATAAGGAAAAAGGCGGAGACACAAATCAACAGAAGACCTCTCTGATTGGCCTCCACCTACAACACTCCCACCAACCAACAGCAGAAGCAGAATTACCAGTGGATGCCAACCCTCCGACAAGAACAGAAATCCTGGATGCAATCGAGATGCTAAAAGCTGGAAGAGCAGTAGGACCAGGCGGAATCCAAGCAGAGGCATTAAAACTGCACTCAGAGACATCAGCGGAGATGATGACACCACTACTGGAGAAGGTATGAAAATAAGGCAAGGTATCTGCGGATTGGAAGAAAGTCTACTTATTCAAACTACCAAAGAAAGGAGACTTAAGTCAATGCAAGAACTGGCGAGGAATTATGCTCCAGTCCATCCCAAGCAAAATACTTAGCCGCATCATCCTGGAGAGAATCGAACAAGTCAACCTGGATGAAAAACTTCGACCGGTACAGGCCGGATTCAGGAGAAACAAGTCATGCATCGATCGAATTGCAACACTGCAGATCATCACTGAACAGAGCTTGGAATGGCTGTCAGCTCTCTATCTCAACTTCATTGACTTTGAAAAGACCTTCGACAGCGTCGATCCAGAAGTGATTTGGAAAATACTTCGCTACTGCGGGGTGCCGCCGACAATTATACATCTCATCCAAAAGTTGCAAAACAGTGCTGCATGTCAAGTTTTCCACAACGGGAAAGTCACGGAATCCTTCGAAGTGAGAACAGGAGTAAGACAAGCTGGCTGCCTACTATCTCCAATGATTTTCCTGATTGTGTTAGACTGAATAATGCGACAGACAGCGGGCAGCAAGGAAACAGGCATAAACTGGACTCATACAAAATCTTGGAGGATCTGGACTCCGCCGATGATATATGTCTGACTTGCCACAAACTTGAAGATATGCAAGTGAAAAGCAACAAGTTGGCAGAACAGGCATTCAGAGAAGAGAGAACTTCAGGTGAACATAGAAAAAACAGTAGTGGTGATGAAGATTCCTTGGCAAAAACCAACACCAACACCAAACAAAGACGTGAATACTTATTTTCTGCCATTCTGTCGATTTTTTCGGGAGACTGCCAGCACTGAATTTTAACTACTCTGGGCGTTGCTATCTTCTTCCAATATTTGCGCCCAGATAAAACTCACTTCACGGACCTTCTTCGTCGTCCTCGATTCCACTTATGTTTGTTGTGATTTGTTTTGGAGAATTAGCGAAATTAAACCACAAAAAATACCTCAACCGAGTTCATTGATTTTGAGCGTTAGCTATGGATAAAGAGCAACAAATGCCAAAAATCTATTCAAAATGAAAGCCGCTGACCATTGTGTTCTAAAGTCTGTTTAAAATTTTTATTCTGTTCCTTGATCTACCCGGAAACTGAAGTCCTCTCAAAAAGCCAGTCCTCTCACGCATATGTATGTTTTATCAACTTTAATTTACTCACTACTCACACTGCAACCAAATACCCTATCTTCCTAACACCACGTTAAGTAAATCCAGACTAAGAAGCAGAACTGGGTTTATTTATACTATTTTCAACCCTTGGTAGTTGTCGAGGATCATGTACTGAGCTGGTTTCTGTAGTTTAAGTTCGCCGAGAATCTTTCTGAAACTGAAATCCATGCATTCGGCAGTAGATAGCGGAAATATTTACTAACTTAACAAAGTGATAAAACATTTGACATCGAAATTACCTTCTGTAGCAAAGTGAAAATGCAATATGTATCCTAAGCATTTACATGAGCTCATTCCTGATGATTGTTTGAACCTACTGCATATAAATTTAAAGAACACTTTATTGAAACTGTTAACTTGACCTTTTGTTTTAATATAGCAGTGATTTGTTGTCCAATGCGCGGTGATAATTTGAGTTTGGCGTTGTAAGTCAGGAAATAAAGCGTGTTTGAATCTTTTTAGTAATATCTGATTGCGTTTTAATACTCGTGAATATGTACACAGAATAGACTGTTTTAGCTTATTTTGAAGGAGTGAATGCAAGAAACAATAGCTTCCAACACTGATAAGAATGGAAATTTATCGAGTTCATTCTGTCGTTCGCTTTGCTGATATTTTAACTCTTCTTCAGAAAAAATTGTTTCACGAAGTTTAGGAAACTCTAAATGACTACTAGGGGTGGTAAATGCGTTTTTATGTCTTCGTTCCTTAAAAGGGACCAGATAAAATTGAGATGAGAATTTCAGCTAATATTTGTTGGTCCCAAGTTCCTGAATAGTTTATGCCTATGATGTTGGTAAAATCGATCACGAAAACTTTAGAGGGACGTAAAAATGCATCAAAAAATTAAAATAGCTCCCTACCGTTTTACCTTCATCTATTTATTTGAGTATACAAAAGTGTCTGCTTCTCCTCGACTTCCCCAAATTACCAACTTTATTTCCTTTTGAAATCTCCTGCCTAACCTTTGTCACAAAAATGTTTTTGTGGTAAACTTTGCTACATATTACGATTATCAGCCATCATGATGACGGTCACTTATTTCACAAAATGTTTTCAATGCTATTGTATATTTTTTGACTTTTTAATATTCTTAAATAATTCACTGGATATATATGTCTTTAAGAGGAACAAATGCAAGACGTAAGCAGTGTTAACAACTATTTTTTGTCAACACTATTTAAGTGATTTTAAGATGGTAATGGCTATTGAATAGTTTACTGTAAACTGGGATGATTTAGCCATAATTTCAAACTTTTTTATCACACAAAACCGGTTGTAATTAAGGTATGATTGTAATTTTATGTTTGTGTGGGTTGACACTAGCCTTCAAAACTTCTGAAGATACTTGATAGGACATTTGCGAATAATGAGAATGTTCTGTATCCGATAAAGTGACGTTTTGCCAATACTAGCTTAAATTTAGACATCTACCAACAATTGTATCACAATAATTCTGGTCAAAATCACCCTATATATTTACATCTTTCGAAGCCAAGGGTATTGTAGCATCTCCTTTACAAAGTGCTGGTGAGCTCAAAAGCTAACAGTAAACGATGTGTGTCAGCTTTTTATGTAATTAAACAAACAAAACATTTCAAAAGTAAAAAAAAACAGCATAAGATGGCTAACAAAATACAAAAGAAAAGTATGGAAAAAAATAGATAATATTTTAACTATTCTGCATAAAAATATTGTTTCTATGGAGTTGGGGCTTTGTATATACCTCAAACTGAAACTAACAGTTTGATATTCAGGTGGATTTAGTTCAAGACTGTTAGTTTGCTTTGAAATATAGGAGAAAATAAAAGTCGAATTATTTTGTTAGTTTAAACTTAATGTATTTTTTTGTTTTTCATATGACTAAGTAAACTGTCTCCTTGGTCAAAACTTGCTGCATAAGAACTCTCTCGAAAACGTTTTACTTTTGTCTCACTCTGAAAAATCCATTCAAGCAGTGATTTGAAAGTGCATATCTCTTTGAACTTTAACGATACCAAATCACCTTCAGATTTCCACAGAGTTACAGGAAAATACCATTTCTCCAGCTCATGTTAACATTGTATTTTGCTGTACAACTATAAGTTGTCCTGACTGTATGTTTTTCACTTCTCCTACTTTAACGGCAAGTAAAACATGTGAATTTATCTACATATTATCAGTTCACGAAATGTACTTGACTGACTAGCTGACTGACTGGTTTCCACACAGAACTTTGCATAAATGTGCAGCAGTTCGAGTTGCCACACACTCCCTCCATGTAGCACACAAAGCATGAGGAGGGAGTAAAGAGAAATTCAAAAGAGAGACAGTAAAAAGAAGTGTGAGAGAAAAAGAACAGTAATATGCAGAACAGTAGAGTTCCGTTGAATATGATAAATCAAGGAAGTCTACACCTCCCAACGTGAATGGTTTAACAAACTTTTGTGGATTTCATTGACTAATGAAGCCATGTTTTCGTTAGACTACCACTAGACTTTTTCCAACCTGTCAGTAAGCTAACATTACCCTTTGTCGAGGAAGGAGATGGCTAGGCATGCATACGTAACACATGTCCTAACCATCTCAATCGGTGTAAGTTCACAACCTCGTCGATTGATTTCCCCTCCTTACCTTACCTAGAACTCGACCAACTTACTTTACTTCGGCTATCTCCTACGGGAGGATAAGCCGGCATCATGAACATCTCGAATCATCGCTGCCCAGGCGCGGCGATCTGATGCAAGGTTTTGCGACAGGGTTATCCAATTCTTGTTCCACAGACGGAGTCCGTAGACGGTTTGTAGCCCCAGGCACTCCATATCAGCCTTGACTGTACCAAGCCATGTTTTCAGCTGTCCACCCCTGCGACATCGCCAAGATGGTAATGGCGAGAGATTTAGAACTGATTTGACCAGATCTTCATCTGGTCGGCGCAGAACATGGCCAAACCACCGAAGGCGACGTTGTAAGAGAGTTCATGAAGTTTCATGGGAATTTGGTACGAGTGATGTCCCCAGAATCGCTCGGCCTTTTGTTTGAGAGTGCAGCTCTAGCCTTTACACAACCAAGTGTGACCTACAAGGCAGTAGGAGTGGAGTAGGGAGTCCACTATCCATTGGCAGCCGGTGACCGGAGTTCAGTTCATACGTCAGACATCCAGGACATCCAACAAGCCCTTTGTCCATACGTCTGCCGGTGAGCTCAAGTGAGCTTCATACGCCAATCGTTGGAGGTTTGGAGTCAGGGTTTAGCCATCTCCCCTAGACTGGTGTGCGGAGAGGTGGCCAACCCGCAGCGCATGGCACCCACCCCCGACCATCCTGAGGCTTTGGAGGCGCACTCGACCAACGCCTAACCTCAATATTAATCACCATTTTTGTACCATCTAAGACGGGAGATAGAAAGCGGAGTGTACTTACAATCTGTTTACGTATCCTTGTAGGTTTGCAGTGTATTTTCATCATTGTATTTGGGTGTTATAAAAAAATTTTATACTAAAACGCTTTCTACATATTACAGGTAGTTGTGGGAATGTTGTCTTTTGCCATTGCTACTGCAGCCACTGTAGCTGGTGTTTACTTTTACAAACGCAAATCCTGTAAAGTGGACTTCCCTCTTGACCGTCATTTGCACGAGCAATCTGTTGCTGTAAAAGATGATGACGTAAGTACTCTAATGTGTACCAATATTTTATTGATTATATGATCAACAGAAGTTGTATGTTTTTTTTAAGTTAGTGATCTCAGTGAAGGCTGTAACGCTTAACTTTATTTCATTTGATATATATTTAGATTCAGATTATAAAGATAGAAGGCTCTTGTTGCTTATGTTAATCCTCGCGATATGTATCTCCGCAGAGATCCAGTTTCTCTTTGAAAGCGTTCACCGATGGAGCTGTTACTACTGAATCAGAGGTAAGGAGTTCCAGTCGTTGACCACTCTGTGAGAGAATCTAAACTCCAAACGTATTTTATTCGACCTCGGTTTGAGCACCTTCTTCTGGTAACCCCGTAAATGTATCCTAGAGGGAGAGAAAAGGTTTAAAAGGTCAACCCCTAAATCACCCTTGAACATTCGGTAAGCCAAAATTAGGTCGCCTCTCCTCTTTCGGTATGGTAATGGGGAGAGATTTAAATGCTCCTTTCTTCATGTCATAAGGAAGGTGTGAGATACCACTAACTAATTTCGTTCCTACCCTCTGTACTCTTTACAGGGTATGTGCCTCCTTTTTGAAGCATGGACTCGCCGCTTGTATGCAGTACTCTAGATGAGGCCTGCTGACATATGTTGCATAGAGTACTTGGAACATACCCTCATCTAATCGTTTGAAAGCCCTTCGAAGTGTCCATAGCATTCGAAAGGCCTTAGCTGCGGCTCGATTACACTTTGCTAACAATAATTCCTAAGTCCTTTTGTTCCCTAACATCTGGCAGTTCTGTGTTCCCCATGGAATACGACATGTAAGACTTCTGACCTAGGTGCATTACCGCGCTTTTCTTGGAATTAATTTCCAGACTCCAAAGGTTAGCCCATTCGGCTAGTTTGTCTAGATCGTTTTGTAGTACCAACCTATTACCACTACTATTTACGGTTTTCCATATCTTAATATCGTCCGAAAATAGTAAGGAAGATGAGGTAAGAATTTTTGGCACTTCATTTACATATAATAGGAATACCAAAGGGCCAAGTGCCGTTCCCTGAGGTACTCCACTTAGTACTGCTTTCCACCCTGACAGTACACCATTAACCCTTACCTTCTGTCTCCTGTTCATCAGGTAGTCACTAAACCACTCACATAAGCGTTGGTCTAATCCAAAATGTTTAAGTTTACTAAGAAGACCTAAATGGGATACCTTATCGAATGCTTTACTAAGATCGATAGATACAACGTCCAGTAGATGGTTTTTATCCATGTATTGAACTTGTGTGATTAATAAATCGTTGTTGATGCTTCCCACTTAGTCATCATTATTAGATTGCAAGCTGTGGCTATGCTTTGTTGTAACCTTGATTTCTGTTATGGATATTCTAGGAGTTCCGTAGCGACTTTCATATTTCACTACCAAATTACTTGCGGTGCGGCGTTTTAGTCATTTTATCGGCTTATCACCTACAGAGATATCAAGTCTCTGTCTGTCTGGATTCAACATAGAACTTGGCACCGAAGTGCAGCAGTTCGAGTTGCCACGTTCCAAATACCACACAAAGGTAGACAAGAAGATGGATGAGTGAAGAGAATCAATAGAGTTTTGACAAGTATAAGAGTGAAACAGAAGAATGAGTAATGGTAGAAAGGAATATGAAAGATTACACAAGAGACTGAATACATCTGCGTAAGCCATTGACAACGATTTTGAGCCATGTCACCTATTGTCTGTCTCCAGCCATTGATTCTTAGAGTCCCGAGGGCGGGCCCCAACCCGGAAGTCTGCATCTCCCTCCCTACCTGACTCAGTTTAACTGTCAAGGATTTCATGGATTGACTGATGCCATGTTTTTGTTTGGCATGGCACCACTTACTCTTTTCCAACTAACCTGCACCTATATCAGCTAGTAATGCCCGTCGGGAGGGGGAGGCGATGGTTAGGCATGCGCAGCACGTCACCTAGCCATCTCAATCTATGTAACTTTATAGCCTCTTCGATTGATTTTCCTTCTTTGCCCAACACTACGCCAGCGTCAACATTACTTACCTTATTATACCACCTAACGTGAGAAAGAGATCGTAGACATCTATGATCAAAAACAGTCAACCTTTTCATGTCTTCAACTCGTATTGGCCATGTTTCAGAGCCGGCCATAGGGAAGGACGGAGCGAACTGCTGAGCAGTACACACATCCCTTGGTTGATAGCCGGATGTCACGCCTACGCCAGAGATGGCGTAAGTTAGCGAAAGCAGCCCGAGCTTTTTGGATCCGTGCTGAGATTTCGTCACCAATCAATCCGTTGATGCTGATACAACTTCCCAAATAGGTGAAGTGGTCAACATGTTCTATCACTTCACTCCCTATCACTAAGCTAGGGGTAGACGTAGTTCAGTCCTGTAGCAGCATCTTACATTTTACAGGGGCGAATCGCATGCCAAACATACGAAGATTGCAGCAGCTCAAGGTGTTTAGAAGACTCAGCATTTTGTCAGCGTCGTCTCCTAACAGGACTATGTCGTCTGCGTATTCTAAGTCTATACGACTATTCCCTGGTAACAAGTCGATTCCTAAGTCGTTAAGTTCAATTAAGGATACTTCCATTAGCATATCTATGATGAAGTTAAACAGGAATGGGGAAAGTGGACATCCTTGACGGACACCACTGGTTGTTATCAATTCAGATGACAATTCCCCATAAGCCCTTACACGGCTACGTGATTTTGAGTAGAGTGCCTTGATTAGTGTGCAATGTACTTTCTTGGCACTCCCTTCACAGTCAAACAGTGCCATAGAGATATCAAGTAGGGACTAAACTATCGGCGATGCATCCTCTGCAGAGAGATTTGATTACATTTATTGCATTTCTTCATTTAAAAATTTCGGTGTAAAGATTGGATTTGTCGAAGCACTTTTTAACTTTCTATTATTATGAAACTCTGCAATATGAATGCATAGTAGCTTTTTGTAATTTATAGTGAGAACACAGTGAAGCGTTCCAGTGTCCTTCATTCTGTCTGACTCCTTTAATTTGTTGGTGCTATTTTCGGAATAATTCTATGTGTGTGTATATAGAGCTTGGCAACTAAGCTTCTCCATTATTACGTTCCACATAGTGTCCTTATCTGTACACATATAGTTTATTCTGCCGTATAATCATGTGTAGGTTTTTCCCTAAAGAATCAACTGGATTGAGTGACTGTTGTCAACAAACTAAAATTTAGGGACAGGTTCCCAATGCTCATCTGCAATGATGTACTCCCTGATCAGCAAACTAAACTATTGAGCGATGTTTACACTCCACTATGGATAAGATTTTATTTTGATAAACTCTCACTCACAGTGTGTGTAGTGTTATACAGTAAGTAATATTAACTGATGCGACCACACGCTTCGAGCACAATTCATTATTGCCACTCATAATCATCATATCAAGTCACTCACTTGAATGGAATTGACGATTAGACATTTGAATACAAATCAATAATATGGGATAATGTACATTCAGAAATAATGATAGTAACACTATGAGTGTTATTGATCAATTACAATCAGATGGGAAATAAGACGAGTGTTTTCTCTATCGTCATAATAAGTGAGTAACTTGTTAGAATGTTGTGATGATGTACGTGAATTGAATTGAAATAGAATACAATTTAAGATTATTCATTATCCTCCTCTGATTTCACTGACTGACTGGTGGTAATAATATCTTCCATACATTTCTCTGGTATTTGCATTGAGTCATTCCTATTGCATGTGTTGTGTTGGGTGTAGTAGACTCGAAGAACCAGGCAGGATTCAGCAAGCAATCTCTCTCTCTCAACCTACTTAGATTGCTTCTTAGAATATTAACCCTCTACCACCATGCTATTGTGTGGTTGTGTATTAATGCATGCAGTGCAATGTAGTGCTGAGCTATTTTTTCTAAATTACTTATCTTCTCGGGTGGGGTCAACCATTCTTACCTTAGCTAAATTCTTATGTTCTGACAGGCAATCTGACTACACCCGACCTACTAGTTTGACCTATGTAGTTGACCTAAGTGACAATCATTGCAGGGTATTTTGTAAATGATATTATTTTGTCTAATTGGGTCAACCTACAGGGTCCTTTAGTCTACGGAGTTTGTCCTACCTGAGTGAGTTTGTAGGTTTGAATGCCACCACTCTAATTCCTGCTTTATTAAGAATCCTACGTAGGGAGTGTCTCAGATGTCCCCTCCTTATACGGTATAACAGTGGATGCCTTATATTCTCTTTTATTTATGTTAGTTATTATTATTAGTTTCGCCATTATACACCGCATGCATTAACACACAATCACACAGTAGGATGGGTGGGACAGAGTCAAAATTCTAAGGTGGAGAGAGAGATTGATTACTGAATCCTGGCTGGTTCATCGAGTCTACACACAACCCACATGCAACAGAAATCACTATGAAAATACCAGAGATATGGAAGACATTATCACCATCAGTCAGTGAAATCAGAGGAGGATAATAAATAATCTTAAATTGTATTCTATTTCAATTCAATTCACAAACATCACAACATTCTAACAAGTTACTCACTTATTATGACTATAAAAGAAACACTCGTCTTATTTCCCATCTGATTGTAATTGATCAATAACACTCATATTATTATTATTATTTCTGAATGTACATTATCCCATATTACTGATTTGTATTCAAATGTCTAATCATGAATTCCACTCATGTATATAAATGAAGGAAGACGAAAGTTGTGTCAGTGAGTGAGTGAGTGAGTGACTTGATATGATGATTATGAGTGGCAATAATAATAAATTGTGCTCGAAGCGTGTGGTCGCATCAGTTAATATTACTTACTGTATAACACTACACACACACTGTGTGAGTGACAGTTTATCAAAATAGAAAATCTTATCCATAATGGAGTAGTTATACTCTACCACACACACCACAGTGCCCAAGTTTTATACTTATATCAAGAAAACAAGGTGGTGTTCATTTAGTCTGTTCAGGTTCTCCTGTATGATGTCTGACACATTAATAGTGACAGTGTTGTCAACTGATGTCAAGAAATCATATTAGACACTTTAATGTACATTTTGTGTTGTCGAATGGTGGTAGTTACTTACAAAATCTCATTATTCCCCTAAGTCACTATCACTGTTCTAAAGTATGAATTGAGACTATAGTTATAAAGATTCAAAAGTTGAATGCTATTCATTTATCTGTAGGCATATTTACAGGTATTTTCATTGAATGGACACGGAACAAAGAGTACTCTTTTCGATAACCCCTTCATCATCAGGTTCTAAAATTATATATACATTATAATGAATGAATGAGTTAGTCTTATGAACGACATTAATGTTGCTGTTTAAATAACATCGAATCAATAATATTGATAAATTACAGCTGAACAGCATCAACATAAAATAAACTGAACGTTAGAAGAATTAGGAAAGGTAATAGTACAAATTCATGAGTTTATAGTTTCTACTGAAGGCCAGGGGCTGGACTTATTTCTTTTGGACACAGAGCACTGGTTGTGTTGAGGCGAATTGCAATAGCCTCTGCTGTTTGGAGCATGCGGTGGGTGCTTCAACGATTTTGGTAGTTTGTTAGGCACCCGGTATATTAAAGAGGAGGATTCCTCTACGCTGGCTTTGTGACCGACTGGCCGGTTTGCACCAGATGGTCCAATATCAAACTGTTTGTTAATGGTATTCACCACACCTTTACTTAGTCATAGTGGGAGATGTTCTCGAGCGAGTGAGCACGAAAAATCAAGTTCCTAGAGCAACAGCCAATATAACTCGCTCCACTACAAGTGCAGTTGAATTGATAAATACAATTTGAAGAGGCTATCTAGTCTAGGTACTTCATCTTTCAGTCGAGGTAGCACCATCGGTCTTGTAGAGAATAAAACGTGTAGATCGCCGCCAGCATTGAAAGTTATTTGAACTGATTTTCTTATTTTCTTCTTAATTAACTCGCTTGGTATATCGCCCATGAACTTTAAAATAAATATCATTGCTTTCCTTATATCTTCTTTTTTTTTAAAATTTTTATTGTATAGCCAAACTGTCGGATGTTTATTGCGCATATCCCCATTCCTAAATCATACGCCAGTTTGTCAACAGTTTGTGAATTGTTTCTCTGTGGACTGAACACCTCAGGTAAACATTTTATGCATAGAAATGCTATATGCACTTAAAAGTTTTCTCATAATTAGTTTTTACGAGTTGATCACGCACGGATTGATATCAGTTAGTGAAGCATTGAAAACAAGCCACAGGGAGTACTGCCAGACAGCTGTTTCATCAGCCTAGTTTGGGAATCATTGGCAGTACGCACCCACCACAGGCGGTTCGAACCCCGAACCTCCCCGTTACAAGGCAAGCTGGCTCGTGTACCATTCAGCCACTCACTGGGACCCACCCGATTCAATGGCCAGTACATGAATTCTAACTTCTAACAATTCGTGATTTAGCACGACCCTAACCAATGTCGTCGGTGGGACATCCATCCTCACACGTAACATCTGAATGGACCTCACTGGTCACAACTTCTCACTAGAAGTGACTCCAGGAAACTCCATCCTGAAGCAAGTCACTAGCTAGCATCAGATTAATTTTCTATAGTTTGGATTTTAAGGGTTAATTAAGTTTATACGAGTTGATCACGGATTGATATCAGTTAGAGGACCATTGAAAACCAGGGAGTAGTGGACAGCTGTTTCATCAGCCTAGTTTGGAAATCATCGGCAGTACGCACCCACTGAGATTCGAACCCAGGACCTTACGGTTACGGTCTGGGTCGCGCTAAATCACGAATTCGTAGAAGTTAGAATTCATGGATTGGCTGGCCATTGAATCGGGTACCAGTGGCTGAATAGTATACGAGCCAGCTTGCCCTGTAACCGGAAGGTCCTGGGTTAGAACCCATTGTGGTGGGTGCCTGCTGCCGATGATTCCCAAACTAGTCTGATGAAACAGCTGTCTGGCAGTACTCCCTGTGGCTGGTTTTCAATGCTTCTCTAACTCATATCAATCCGTGATCAACTCGTAAAAACAAAACTAACCCTTGCCAACTAAACTATAGAAAAACTTTATAATTAGTGTTGATAACATGAATATTTCCATAGTTATCAGTTCGAGTATTTCGTGTTTTAGGATACATATCCACCTAATAAATATATATATAGCAAAAATATTCATTCAGACATCTATAAAACACAAAATATAATTGAGCCAACAAAGAATATCCTTTTCGATAAATTCCTCCTCCTCTTCTCGCTTTACAATTATATACATATATGCATGTTTATATACATAGAATATTCTAGATTAGTAGTCAATAACAGTATCAGTGTGCTTTTTAAATAATATCGATGTGTAAAGTAAGATCACAATGGAATCACCACAGTTCATTAAAGATGCTTAAATTACAATACTAATAAGAAAGATATAGTAGCAAATAAAATATCAACCAAAATTAGGAAAGTTCCATAAAAATTCGGGATCATTCAAACCTAGATGGCCAAGCGGGTAAGGATAATGTCTGAACCAACCAACTTCTTTTGGACGCACAAATTAGGCTTGTTAATATGGATTCCAACAACCAGCCAGCCTCAGCAGTGTTTAGTAGTCGAACTCCGAAGGCGAAATTGAGATTTGTTGGTATTCGGTAAATGACCCTGAAAGCCGCCTGGTTAACATCAATCAGTCTTGTGTTGTGTATCCACAAGATGAGTGAGATAGAATAGCGCTGCGAATAGATAGATTTTGTTTGTCCTTTACTTAACCAACCAACCACTGTGCAGGATGGGTGATGTTCGGAAATTCGACGAGAAACACGCCTAATTGTACGGCGTGGGTTCACAGGAGCAGTTGAATTGGTAGATACCCATGGTAGAGGCGAAATTAGGCAGTTTGTCTTTTACTCCCGAACGCAAGAGAGAAGTAGTTTTGAAGATGCAGCGTAATTCAGCAGCAGCAGGGAGTGCTCTTTTTACCGCATTTCTTAGGCGTTGTGTTTACATCTCGCTGATGGTGTCCCCGAAGAACTGCATTTTTAAGAATATGTGAACGATGTCACCAACAACAGTCTCTAACTCTTGATTCTTGGTATATTGAGGACCCCAGCTAGACAGTCTGTGCCTCCCTACATGGCCGTCAATAAGTTTGCGTATCTGGGTAGTGTGTGTGTGAGTGCTGGTAGAGGGGTGACGGATGAGATTTCTAACCGTATCATTAAAGCTTGGTGGCCATACGTTAACTGTGCGTCGGTGGCACAGTGGTTAGGACTCTCGCCGACCATGCACATGGTCCGGGGTTCGATCCCCTGCCGGCGCACACCCGATATCTATGATCGGCCTGCAAAATTGGGCTACCGATATCACATGCTGAAAATTCCATACTTGTACCAAAAAATACGGTGTGGAATCAAGCTATAATAAATAAAAAAAATACAAAATAAATACAAAATAAAAAAACTTGAGCCGCCTCTAGCGCGGTCGCGATCTGTGTGTTAACCTGGCTATCAAAGGTTGGGTTTACAATGCTTCGGTGCAGGCTGTCTTGCGTAGCGCTACACCTATGAAACCTTATCTCTGCGAACTGAGGATATGCAACGACTATGCAACGTATCTGACAGTCTCTGTCTCCGCAGGATTGCTTGTGTTTGACGGCATCATCGCGTGAGTAAGTTTGGCGTCTGGAGTGTTGTCATCTGGAAACACCGGCTTCGGTGGCTTCAATGGACATGCTCTGCGAATGTCATCCCATAGGCTTCCGTATAGGTCTCTGTTGGCTAGCCAGCCCTGAGACGGGATGGAAGAGGCGGAGAGGTGTTCAACCCATGACATGGTGACTTGGCCGTGAAGGATATTTTTGTTCTAGGTTAGTATCGGTTGGTACGTCACGACTCCCTGGCTGGGTAGGTAGTCCAAGAGATATCTCCAGGCGTTATTGGATATGGCCAAAAATCTTAGTCAAATAGCGAACGTGCTGCAATTTCCTTCTTTCTTGCTTTTTCCTTAATTCTAATGACTGTGTGTATAGATTAAAAATTTGAATTGCAGACTTCATTAATCTAAGTCTATTTATTAAATTAACTGAGATGGATGATTTTTTTTCGTTGATTTCCCAACCACGTTTACTGGTCTTTCAGGACATTTAAGTAAACTTATATTCATAATAAACGTTTTCGTATTTCCCAATGAATGAAAAACAAAACGATGTCGCTGTTTTTACTGAAGTTTCGCTATTTAATGCTGCTGCTAATAGCTCTATCAAAGCGGTATTATTAAACAGGAATTTACAAAATCCACTCAGCTGATATATAACAAAGAGTTAAGAGGTGAGAAAATAGACTACTTAGGTCAAGTTAAAAGGAGGACATATTGAGGGTCAAAATAACAATGAAGATCAATCACTGAACCAAATAACAAAGGTAATAGTACATCTGCCCTGGCTGGTATCAAAATAAAGTTTACTAACTTGATCATCGTTCGTCAGTATGGGATCATTTGGCGTTGTCAAATTGGCCAATTGCTAAAGATAACAAAACCAAGTGTAGATGACTGTTGGATTTGATCAGTGTGTAAAATTATAAAAGCAGTGTGTGTTTACATAGTGAACTTGCTTATCACATTTGCGTTGATTTTGTCACTTCCTAGGGGAGGGGTTTGGGGTGTTGTAACCAGGTCAAACTCTGTTTTAGTCCATCATTCCTATTCAGTTCAGATAATTCGGACCTATGGCTGATGATTTTTCAAGTTCTTCTAGTTCAACCGGATTTCTCGGTGGTCGAACAGATGTTCTACGGTGTTCATTTCTTCTGAGTTTGATTTCTCTCTAGCGATGTTTGTCCGATGCATATCGCATCACATTGCAACCAAGCATTTTATTTTATAGGCACAATTAGATAGGGAATCTTTAGGGTCTACACGCTATAGAATTAGGCCACAAAATTGATTCTGACAATATTGAAATCGTCATGCAGAAAAATTTCAGAAACCACAAAGAACGTCTCATGTCATCGGAAGCACTTCATATCAAATGGAATTCAAATTGTCTTAACTGAATAGGAACGATAGACTAAAACAGAGTTTGACCTGGTTACAACACCCCCAATCCCTCCCCATGAAGTGACAAAATCAACACGAATGTGATAAGCGATATCATTATTATATAAACACACGCTGTTTTTTATAATTTTACACACTTATGAAATCCAACAATCTACACTTGGTTTTGTCATCTTTACCAATTGGCCAACTTGGTCAAATGCATTGGTCAAAGTAGTAGAACATGGACAGTGAGTCCGACTAGCCGAGCATAAAAACCTAGCAGCGAAATCTAGATTAGTTGACTCGAATAAGATAAGAAATCTAGAGAATAGTTCAGCTATCGAAAGCACTATATGCAATTGCACACAACCATACAATAGGATGGATGGGATAAGATGACAGTTTTAAAATCTAATGTCACAGGGTGGTTGGAGGGAGAGATTGATAACAACGGAAGCTTTGTTTATCGAATCAACTGAGAGTGAATACGTGTAATAGGAATGATTCAACACCTGTTCAGCCAGATATCTGGAAAATTCTACTACCCCAATGACGACGACAAATAGGAGAGGACAAAGAAAACTATGAAACTCAATTTTCGAAGTCGTGTGATTATAATTGATGAAATGATTATGAACAATAATGAATTTTGTTCGAAACTGTGTCATCCAGTAAATACTAATACTGTTTCACTGACTGACTGTGTGATACATCTAATAAACAAACTAATATGGAATTCATACCAGTTAGTTTTTCTGCCTCTAACCGATATTGCATGATTTTTTTTTTAAAACACACTGTGTCAGGTTGGATTTTATTAGTAAAAGAAGTTAATCTTTTTTGTTCACACTAAATGGGATTGCTCCGTCAACTGGTTTTTCTACGAAATATGAAGAGATGTAAGAATGTTCTGTTTGTCTTTGGACTTGTTACTACTGGGTTTTGTTGTTGTTGTTTTTGTTTATTAGTCGTTTTTTTTACATATCCATCTTTCAAACAATCATTTTGTTTTATCTGATGTGATGATAGCCAGACTAATTCATTACTTTTTTCATTGCGTCACTTTTCACTTCTGCACCACTCACTAACTAACCAACTAACTAGCTAAACAACCTTGTCTGGGAAGACGTGATAACTGTGATCAGGATTACAAGTGGATTACATATGATCAGGTGAGTGTTTCACTTCGGTGCTTTTTTAAAAATTTTCTTACATCTTCGTGGTTTCATTATTATATCTGTGTAACTAAGTAGTAAGTACTTCCATATTCATCCAAATATGCTGTCTGTCTGGATTCAACATAGAATTTAGCACCGAAGTGCAGCAGTTCGGGTTCCCACGTTCCAAATAGCACACAAAGGTAGACAAGAAGATGGATGAGTGAAGAGAATCAATAGAGTTTTGAGAGTATAAGACTGAAACAGAGTGAGTAATGGTAGAAAGGAATATGAAAGATTACAGAGACTGAATACATTTACGTAAGCCATTGACAACGATTTTGAGCCATGTCACCTATTGTCTGTCTCCAGCCATTGATTCTTAGACTCCCGAGGTCGGGCCCCAACCTGGAAGTCTGCATCTCCCCACCTACCCGACTCAGTTTAACTGTCAAGGATTTCATGGATTGATTGATGCCATGATTTTGTTTGGCATGTCACCACTTACTCTTTTCCAACCTGCACCTATATATCAGATAGTAATGCCCGCCAGGAGGGGAGGCGATGGTTAGGCATGCCCAGCACGTGACCTAGCCATCTCAATCTATGTAACTTAATAGCCTCGTCGATTGATTTTCCCTCTTTGCCCAACACTCTACGCCTAACGTCAAAATTACTTACCTTATTATGCCAGCTAACGTGAGAAAGAGATCGTAGACATCTATGATCAAAACAGTCAACCTTTTCATGTCTTGAACTCGTGTTGATTGGCCATGTTTCAGAGAGCCATAGAGAAGGACGGAGCGAACTACTGAGCAGTACACACGTCCCTTGGTTGATAGGCGGATGTCATGCCTACGCCAGAGATGGTGTAAGTTAGCGAAAGCACCTCAAGCTTTTTGGATCCGTGCTGAGATTTCGTCACCAATCAATCAATCCGTTGGTGCTGATACAACTTCGCAAATAGGTGAAGTGATCAACATGTTTTATCACTTCACTCCGTATCACTAAGCTGGGAGTTGACGTAGTCCAGTCCTGTAGCAGCATGTTACATTTTACAGGGGTGAATCGCATGCCAAAGAGACGAAGAGTGCTGCTGAAGGTGTTTAGAAGACTCTGCATTTTGTCAGCATCCTCTCCTAACAACTGCACTTTTCTATCTAGAAACAACTCTTATTTGTATATCTTGACAAATACAACTACTTAATGTGAGATGACCTTGTGAGAATTTATCATGTCTCGGTACCTGTCTCAGTTAATTACGCTTGCAAGTTATTGTCACAGTCACAAAGACCATCGTGCGTTGAATATCCCCAAACACAAAGATATTTCAATAATACCGAAAATTTTCATTCAAACATTTATAAAGCAACAAAAAACATTGAGCCAGCAAAGAATATCCTTTTCGATAAATTCCTCCTCTTCTGACTCTACAATTATATCAATATATTTTTATATGCAAAGAATATTCTAGATTAGTAGTCAATAACAATACTAGTGCGTCGGTGGCATAGTGGTTAGGATGCTCGTCGACCATGCACATGGTCCGGAGTTCGATTCCCGGCCACTTGACGCACTCCTTTACCTCGTTGAGCCAGAAATAATACTGGTAAAGAGGAAAGGTAGGGCACAAGGCCAGCAACCCCATCCTGTAAAATAAACACTGCTACAGAAACTCCAAGCCACTAGCTTGAAGGCCTATGTTGCACTGGGGAACGAGAAGGAAATAAAAGAACAAAAAAAAACAATATTAGTTGACAAATTTCGCCGCGAGATGAATATCGTCATTTCGTAGTTTCTTTACAACCGCTTTACACAACTAACATGGTTCACAATAATAAAATGAAATAAAGATCATGACAATTACTCAGTTAAATAAAAAAACAAAAGTACATACTAATGACCAATCATATTTGAATAGGTCAAGTAGTCCATGGTCAATAGTATGTACTTTTCTTATTCAAATTTATCAAAGGGACTAATTGTTTTAACAATATTAGAGTGCTTTTTAAATAATATCGATTTGTAAAGTAAAATTACAATGGAATCACCACAGTTCATTAAAGATGCTCAGATTATAATAATAGTAATAATAATGATATAATAGCGAATAGAATATCAACTAAAAGTAGGAAAATTTCACAAAAATTCAGGATCGATCATTCAAACCTTGAAGGCCAAGCAGGTAACGATAATGTCTGAACTAACTTCTTTTGGATGCACAAATTAGGCTTGTTAATATGGATCTCAACGGCCAGCCAGCCAGCCTCAGCAATATTTAGTAGTCGCACTCTTAAGGTGAAATCGGGATTTGTTGGTATGCGGTAAATGACCCTGAAAGGCGCCTCGTTAACATCAATCAGTCTTGTGTTGTGTATCCACAAGATGAGTGAGACAGAATAGCGCTGTGAATATATGGATTTTGTTTATCCTTTACTTAACCAACCAACCACTGTGCAGGGTGATGTTCGGAAATCCGACGAGAAATACCCCTATGCAAGTAACTGGCTCACTCCATAGGAGCTGTTAAATTGTTAGATACACACACATGGAAGAGGCGAAATTAGGCAGTTTGTCTTTTACTCCCGAACGCCAAATAGGGTTGGGTGGTTTTGAAGACAGCACTGAATGCTCTTTTTAACGCTACATTTCTAAGGCACTGTGTTAGTATCTCGCTGATGTTGTCCGTGAAAGACTGCATTTGTAAGAATAAGGCCTTCCTTTGCCTCGGAACTGTTGGTGTACCTTGGGCTGCTTTGATTTTAGATTCATATTCTTATCAATAAACTTTTCTGGATAACCATTTTCACTCAGCGACCAACCGTTTAATATTATTAAGTTCCTCATCAAGACATTCATCCGAGCAGATTGCTCTTGCTCTGTGATGGACCAAGCACTTTATCAGATTGCGTTTGTATTTCAAGGGCACGAAGCTGAAAAAATGAGTATACTGACAGTCAGTTGATGTAGGTTTTCTATATACACTTCCTCTTCTTATTGTGGCATCCTCTTTTCCAGTCATAAAGACGTCTAGGGAATGAAATACCTAGAGTCATTTTCTTTCTCAATAGTAAAATTTATTGCAGGATGAACATCGTTCAATTTTATGTGTGTGTTTGGGGAGGGTGTCTGGTGCTCCTAATTTTTGAATGGTTCACAAGTTTTCGTCTATCTTTCTATAGATGAAAACTCCTCTAATGGAACGTGGCCTACCCATAAACCCTTTCACCAGAACAATGAAGAATCTGATAAACAACCTTCTTAGCCTTACTATTTAACTTTGCTCTGTTTATTTTTTTTACAGGTGAATGATACAATCCGCGTTATACAGTCTTCTCTGCATGGACTTAATATTGAAAGCCTCAATGGAAACCACTTCGTAGGTATTTCATCGAAAAATTCTCCTGAAGTAAGTTGTTTTAGTGTAAAAACAGCCTTGAAGTATTATCTCTTATTGTCTGTTCTAAACTAAAGCTTCTTCTTTGTCACTAACTTTTTAAATGATATCACATGTATCTCACAGAGCGCTTTAGTGGCTTGTAAATATCCTGCTCAGGAAAGCATAAAGAAAAGATTTTTTAGGGGTGTAACAACAGAAGGCAACAAGGGCCAGCCAAACAGATCGTTTATTTAGGAAATCAACACATATTTTGCAGATTTTCATATACATTATTATCGATTATTGTTAGGAGACCAACACAGTCTTCTGATTGGTTGTTTCTGTTTGTGAGTGTTTCTTGAAGGTCAGATCATCATCTATCTGCTAATTGTATACGCCTACGCAAACAAAGTGTGCTGTGATTGGTTGTTGGTTCAGTCAGTCTTTGTTCTTGTTCTTGTTTTCTCATGACCTAATATTTGGGACATAAACATTGACGTAAATTACTGTCTACCGATTTTTAGCTAGCAGCCAGCTCTCACCACAGGGGTACCAAAATTATCTGTAATCTATTGGCCTATTCTTTTAAACACTAATCATATCGAAGTGGCTTGCAGATGGTGATGATCAACATAGAAAAATAGATCAGGTCGTTTTTTTGTTTGTTGTTTTTTTCACGTTCCCGGGGGAACATAAGACTTCAGGCTAGAGGCTTGAAGTTTCGGTAGCAGTGATGTTTATTTTTACGGGATGGGGTTGCTAGCTAGCCTCATGACCCCCCCTTAACCTTCCCTCTTTACCAGTCGTATTACTGGCTTAGCGAGAGAGGTATAGGAGTGCATCGGTGAGTGGCCGGGGATCGAACCCCGGAGCACACTATTATGCCGGCTACTTGCGTCTTTCGGACTCGATGCCTAGCTGACACACTCCTAAAGCTCGCCTGATAAATTTGAAAAAACAAAGACAAAACAAGTTGATATAAGTATAAAACTTGGGCACTGTGGTGTGGTAGAGTATAACTACTCCATTATGGATGAGATTTTATTTTGATAAACTGTCACTCACAGTGTGTGCAGTGTTATACAGTAAGTAATATTAACTGATGCGACCACACGCTTCGAGCACAATTTATTATTATTGCCACTCATAATCATCATATCAAGTCACTCACTCACTGACACAACTTTCGTCTTCCTTCATTTATATACATGAGTGGAATTGATGATTAGACATTTGAATACAAATCAGTAATATGGGATAATGTACATTCAGAAATAATAATAATAATAATATGAGTGTTATCAATCAAGTACAATCAGATGGGAAATAAGACGAGTGTTTCTTTTATAGTCATAATAAGTGAGTAACTTGTTAGAATGTTGTGATGATGTACGTGAATTGAATTGAAATAGAATACAATTTAAGATTATTTATTATCCTCCTCTGATTTGACTGACTGACTGACTGACTGACTGACTGACTGACTGACTGACTGACTGACTGACTGACTGACTGACTGACTGACTGACTGGTGGTAATAATATCTTCCATACATATCTCTGGTATTTGCATTGAGTCATTTCTGTTGCATGTGTTGTGTTGGGTGTAGACTCGATGAACCAGCCAGGATTCAGTAATCAATCTCTCTCTCCACTTACGTAGATTACTTCTTAGAATCTTAACCATCTCCCACCCTATTGTGTTTTTGTGTGTTAGTGCATGGGATGCAGATGCTGAGCTTTTTTTCTAAATTACTTATCTTCGTGGGGTCAACCATTCTTAGCCACTAAATTCTTATGTTCCGACAATCTGACTACCCCCGATCTACTAGTCTGTTTCACCTATGTAGTTGACCTAACTCACAGTCATTGTAGGGTATTTTGTAAATTATATTATTCTATTTAATTGGGTCCACCGACAGGGTCTTGTAGCCTACAGAGCTTGTCTTACCTGAGTTAGTTTGAATGCCACCACCCTAATTCCTGCTCTGTTATTAAAAATTCTATGTAGGGTTTCAGATGTCCCCTCGCTCCTTATATGGCATAACAGTGGATGACTTATTTTCTCTCTTATTTATGTTGTCATTACAAGTTTCACAATTATTTTTCGATTTTGAGTGTTTTCGATCTTCCTAATGAATTTTGTAAGATATTTATTTGATACCAACGTCTCTTCTATCTGTTTTGTTTCATCATTCAGGTCTTTTCTTGTGCTACTTAGTGCTACTACTCGGTTTGTTAGACGCTTAACTAAGCCTGCCTTAATAGTTAACGCATGAGATGAATTAAAGTCTAAATACCTATTAGCAGAATGCGTTGGTTTTTGTAAACGCTAGTGTTCACTCTACCTTCTCCTATTCGTTTTATTGTACAATCTAACATCACAGTTAATTCTCCTTGTTCATTTTCCGATTCAAATGTGAATTTTATTCCCTCTACTAGTGAGTTTATATGTGTCAAGAATCTAGAGATATGTTCTCTTTTTAACACTGTGAAAGTGTCATCCACTTATCTCCACCATATTTTTAAAGGTGGATTAAATGTATTAAGAGCAATATTATCCCAGCTGTCCATAAATATATCTGCTACGATAGGGGATATTGGTGATCCCATCGCTACACCTTCTGTTTGTCTATATATTTTGCATTTGAATTTAAAGATAGTAGATGTGAGGCATAACTGGATCCCTAAAATAATTTCATCAGAGTGAGTTCAGGATCTGCAGTTAGTTCTTTTTTAACTGCTTCTAAGGTGGGCATATTGATTGGTATATTAGTATAATGACTGGTTATATCAAAACTAACCATTGTTTCATCATTCTCTAGTTGAATGTCGTTTAGTTTATTTTTCATCTCATATGAATTAGTTAGTTAGTTAGTTAGTCTAGAGTTTGAACTATTTCTAATGGGGCATAATATTAGAGCTAAGTGTTTTGATAATTCATAAGTAGAGGTATTTCTGAAATCTACTATTGGTCTTATGGGGTGCCCTGGTTTATGTATTTTAATAGTACCATACATTCTATTAGCATTATTAGTTATAGGCATTAAGTTAAACCATTTAGACTCACACTGTGCCGGGTTCATTCTGCGTATTAATTCCGCTGTAGATTTCTTAACCTTATTCATTATTGTATCTACAGGCTTCTTAATTTCCTCAAATAGACCCGTCTGAATATGTTCAGTGACTTTTTTGATATAGTCAGATTTATCCAAAACTACGGCAAAGTTTCCTTTGCCGGCGTTTGCAATGACAATATTTCTATCCTGTTTTAGACTAATTAGAGCTAGTCTTTCCGATGTTGTTACGTTTGATTTCGCCTTCGTTTGATTTTTCAGCGTTAATGCACATTTTGCCCGAACCTCTTCTGCTGTTGTCTTATGTATTAAACCTAGCGCTACTTCTATGCTGGGAATGACATCCTCTGGTTTTAATTTATTAACTGTTACACATTGAAATTTAGTCCTTTCTCAAGTACTTTTGTCTCACTGGCACTTAGTTCCCTTGATGAGAGGTTGATCACCCATTTTGTTCTGTCAATACAGGATCAAACAAAACAAAGACAAAACAGGTTGTAATTACACCACTCTTCATGATTAAAACGACTAACCCTAATGACAGATAATACAGTTGTGACAGCTCTGTAGACAATTGACTGCCTTTCTCCGTTGGCTTGACACATTGGTCGATTTTAAAATAGTGTCTATGGAATAAGGTTATACCACTGACCTTACTTAATCGCACAATTTTGCTGTCTTCTTTAGTGTTGGTGTCCAGCTTTTGTAAATAGAAATGGTAAACCTGTTTGATTGGTGGTGCCGCTAAATCATGAATTGGTAGAAGTTAGAATTCATGGGTTGGCTGGCCATTGAATTGGGTCCCAATGAATGACTGAATGGTATACGAACCAGCTTGCCTTAGAACCGAAAGGTCCTGGGTTCGAACCCCAGTTATGGTTGGTGCGTACTGCCTATCATTCATAAACTGGGATGAAACAGATGTCTGGTAGTACTCCCTGTGGCTACTTTTCCAATGCTTCTCTAACTGATATCAATCCGTACGTGGTCAAACTCGTAAAAACAAATTTTAATCCCTAACAATAAACTCTTCACCCGGAATTTACAAAATCTCAGCATATATATAACAAAGAGTTAACGGGTCAAGTTAAAAGGACATATTGAATGTCAAAATAACAATGAAGATCACTAAACCAAATAGCAAAGGTAATAGTACATCTGTTATGATATCAAAATAATGTTTACTAACTGGATCATCGTTCGTCAGTATGGGGTCATTGTGCATTGTCAAGTTGGTCATTTGGTAAAGATAACAAAACCAAGTGTAGATTGTTGTAACCAGGTCAGATTCTGTTTTAGTCCATCATTCCTATTCAGTTCAGGCAATTTGGATTCCACTTGATATGAAGTGCTTCTGATATTAGACGTTCTTTGTGATTTCTCAAATGCTTTTCTGGATTATTTCAATATTGTCAAAATCAATTTTGTGACCTGATTCTATAACATGTAGACCTATGGCTGATGATTTTTCAAGCCTTTCTAGTTCAACTGGATTTATTTCTCAGTGGTTAAACAGATGCTCTACGGTGTTGATTTCTTCTGATTACCTTGATTTCTCTCTAGCGATATTTGTCCGATGTATATCGCATCACATTCCAAGCTAGCATTTTATTTTATGGACACAATTAGATAGAGAATCTTTAGGGATTTGGTCTTTTATATGGACAAGTTTGTTTCACAGTGTGCGTGTCTGATGTTTTGAAGAAAACTCTGACGTCGCGCTTATTGAGTACTCTTCTGATATCGTCTGACGTCTCTGTTCTATATGGAATGACGACTGTTGAGGTTATTTGGTTTAGTGATTGATCTTCATTGTTATTTTGACTTTCAATATGTCCTTTTAACTTGACCTAACCTGTCTATTTTCTGACCTCTTAACTCTTTGTTATGCATATGCTGAGTGGATTTTGTAAGTTGTGGTTTAATAATACTACTTTGATAAAGCTATTCGCAG